CCCGATACCATCCTTCAGTGCCCATCGCCGTAGTCCGAGGCCAGTCGGACTTTGCAGAAATAGCGCAGTTTGCTGTTAATATCGTTTGGACCAGTGTGTAACTAGACTATTGACTGCGCCGACACTTTGCCCGCGCATGGCAGCTGTATCCGAAGTGTTCGTCATGACGGTTTTGTTTATAATACTTACAACAGTCGGGAACGTTTCATGTTTAAGCCCATGAAGGCATTTAAACAGCAGCTGCGACCCGATTACTGATTTCTTTACTGCATTGTAATGGCTTATTCATAAAAATAAAGTGGATTTATACCTTGTTTATACCGACACATAAAGCACTGCGACTCAGTTCGGTGTGGTTCAAAACATATGTATGCATAAAAAAAATCGAATACACGTTGGAACATAGCAAAAGTGTATTGACTCGAATTGGTTTTCAAATCGGTTTTTTATTCCTCACAATGGGTTAGAAAACCTCGTATAAACGAGTAGTTCATCTTTACACGAAATCAAAATTGGCTTTTTTTTCTTTATGTACAGCGCTTTTTAAATGGAATTATTATTATAATAAATTTGTATTACTTTCGCCTCCATTTCGTTACACGGCGCAAATTTATTATTAAATAAATGTCGAATAAAACTAACAGAATTTGTTTACTTTTCAAAACGGTTTTATCGAAATAATATGTGCTGAATCAAATCGTGTTTTTTCCTAGGTATAAACAAGGTATTAAAGAGCTCTATGAAGTGACATTTTCATACAAATTTTCGATTTATAAAAAGTGGCTTTTTTTTATTTTATGAATTTGGGTGTAAGTATATCGGCATTGTTTAAAGAATAGCTTTTTACAATACTCTACCATGGCACTATGGGACCATTTTCACTTTCGCTTTTTACAAAGTATTTTTTGGTGTTCGGTTTGTAATAAAATGAGGGGAACATTTCGAAAAAAATGATGACAGTCGGCAACTGCTTAGACAGCTGTTGATGTTTACGTGGTCGATGCCGATGCCGATTAATCGGTCTTGGGGTTAAAATCGGCCGATGCCGATTCCTTAAAATAAACTACCTGAATATGAATTCATTCAAGAACGAATGTTTTTGACTAAACTTTTATAATAACAAAAGAAAAACATAAAAAATTAACATTACAAAACAAATAATCTTTCAAGAATCTATTCACTTATTTGTGTACATAAATAAATATGTATTAAAAGCAGTATATCGCCTATGCATACATATCATGCAATACTTTGTTTCATAGTCTTTTTCTTATTCAATGTTAAGAAAATAGTTCTTCGAAATCACATTTCTTAGTTGTACTCATAGTAGGTAAAAATATATAGCTTCTGCTGACTATAAAGGTGTTGTATTGAATACAATTTGTTAATAAACAGTAACCGTACACTCTAAAAAAAATTTGCTTAAATTTGCAAGCATATTAAGATAGGTAACCAGTTTCCTCTCTTCATGAATGCAAATTTACATACCGTGTTAATTAAATTCAACACTGTCCGTTTACTTTACTTCATATGTGTGGCGTAGAACAAATTTCAAATTAGTTTGCTGAGTTCTAAACATTTATTGTTCACAATTTTACAGTTTAAACATAAAATGTTTAAAATTTGCTCTAAAAAATGTTTGTTTACATTTACGCATATAAAAAGAGGTAGCCAGTTCCTTTCCTAATTCGTGCAAATTAAACGTTGTCTGTTTACTTTTACATACTAAATTTGTCATGTAGAAAAAAATTACACACAAAGTGTTTAAAATTGAGTTAATTGAGCACTTAATGATTATTACTGGCAAAAAATATTTTTTTACATTAAAAATTTTTGCAATTCTAAACATTTCATGTTGTATTTACACATGCAAATCAAATCTTAAACATTTTGTCCGTATACTTACATAAATTCTGGTTGAAAAATAAATACTTTTCAGTAGTAGTTTTACATACACTTTTTGAGTGTAGATTTTTAATGACAAAAGTATTTTTGTACCGTAAACAATTTAGCAATTTAGTGAAAAGAATCCGAAGGATTTAGGAATTCAGCGATTAATTCAAGGATAATCGTAACATTACTTACAGTAACTGATATTTTAGCATTCTGTGGTATTTCTCGTTTCGTTTATTTAATGTTTCTTATTTGTTTATGAAAGTGTAGCTCGATATTTAACAAAAACCATATTGGTAAAAATTTCAAACTTTCTCTTTAAACATTCTGAGTATGCAGT